CCAGAGGTCTCCGAGCTCTTTCCTTAACCTCCAGCCGCGGGTGCCCTGGTGCCAGGCATGCGTTGCTGAGGCCCCCGGTTGCATGGGTTGCCACTGCCACGCTGTTTTCCCCTGTGGCCCTGTGCCCTTGGGCCCAGAAGGGAGGCCGAGCGCCAGCAGTGGTGGCTGCTGAGGACCCGGGCCCCTCGGTCCTGCCCTGAGGCCCAGCAGCGCTCACCTCACTTCTTCCCCGTCCTGTCTCCTCAGGGCCAGGTCCGTGGCCCACATTTTCCCACAGAACGCCCGTGCCTACAAGGCTGCAGAAGTGCTGCATGACTGGGCCCCAGAGGCCAGCCCCATGTGCGTGGTCCCCAGCCCTAGCACAGCTGTAGAGGCACCACTGAGCTCGGCCGAGCCGGTGGAAGGTGAGTCATGTCATGGGATGCCGTGGGGCTGCTCGGCCCCAGGGCTGCTCGTTCACGCATGGCTCCTGTGGTGTCCAGAGCCCCAGGACACGCCCCGAGCCTGTTGTGGGCCCAGGCGGGCATTGTTGGTGCTGGTGGCTGGAAGTTGTTCCCAAATCCCTCACCCTCTCGCGTGGCCCCTTTAGCCCTGACCTCCAGGGTGCGATGCCTGGCTGGAACGAGGTGGTGAGGCAAGGGTAGTTCCCTGGGCAATATGGAGCCGGATTCCTGACCTTGGCCAGGAGCGGGCGTGACCAGAAACCATGGGCTTGTGATTGAACGGTCGACCCGTGCATGAGAATAGCTGCAGATGTGCCGTGCAACCGGCCCCATTTGCAGTGCCCGTGTGTGTACCCCAAGAGGGCTTGCCAGCTTGCCAAGGCTACGGGTTCCTGGAGTGTCCAGCACCAGGCCCGCTGTGGACGGAGGGCGGGAGGGAGGAAAGGAGGGCACTGCAGGCTTTGAGAGGCCATGTGGCCAGCCATCGGTGCCAGGTTGTGCAGCGTGTGGGGGGCAGGTGCCCAGGCAGACTGAGGCATGAGCTGAGGGCATGGGTCTTCCATGGCTGCTGGGGCTAGCTCGTTGTGGACCCTCACGTGCGTTGGTCTCACTGAGGCTACCTTGCCCCTGCTTTACAGTGGACACCGTCGCCGCCTCCGATGGGCAACAGGCTGGCAATGACCAAAAGGCAACAGTGGGCACAGGCCGCACCGAGGTGGAGCCCGGGTAAGTGTGTGTGTGTGTGTGGCAGTGGCTGTGGCCATGAAACATGGCTGGCCAGGCCTGAGTGGAATGTGGGGTGTCCCAGGTGCCATTGGAGGAGGCGGCAGGCTGGGCTGTGGAAGGCTGGTTCCTGGTGTTCCAGGAAGGTTGCATTCTGCCCCTGCACTCCAACTCTGCTATGGTCAGGGCCCGCCAGGTCTGTAGAGGCTTTGGCACTGTGCCTTGCCAAGAGCTGTCCCTGGTGCTGGCTGTCAGCCATTTGTGTAGAAGCCCCCTGGGGTGCTGCCTGTGTGCCTCTGGGTCCTGCTGGGTCCTGGGAGCGCAGGGGCCAGAGATCAACCGCCTCGTGGGTTGTGCGTGGTGCCCCATCTCCGTGAGGCCCCATGAAAGGAGTACCCCATCGCAGTCTCTGTTTTGGTGCTGGGCAAAGTGTGGGTGTAGGATGTGTGTTGTTGCTGCGGCAGCTGGTGCAGCCAGCGTCGGGGACAGAGAGCGAGCAGAGAGAAAGGTGGCCAGGGCAGCCCGTGGCGTGTTTGGTGGTGGGGACCGCCAGGGCCAGGCTCATGGAAGTGTCCCAGGCCTAGCATACCAGCACCTTGGTGTTGACCAGCATGCACGGGCTTGCTTCTAACCGGACCCTGACTGAATGCAAGCGGGAGAGAGCAGGGCCTTGGGGTGGGCGGTGAGATGGGGTCCTCTGCTGCAGAACCAGCCTCCTGCACGGCCCCCCACCTCCTGCATGTCCCCACACGGTCCCAGCACCACCCTGCCTGGACCATGGTCCCCAGAGGTCTCCGAGCTCTTTCCTTAACCTCCAGCTGCGGGTGCCCTGGTGCCAGGCATGCGTTGCTGAGGCCCCCGGTTGCATGGGTTGCCACTGCCACGCTGTTTTCCCCTGTGGCCCTGTGCCCTTGGGCCCAGAAGGGAGGCCGAGCGCCAGCAGTGGTGGCTGCTGAGGACCCGGGCCCCTCGGTCCTGCCCTGAGGCCCAGCAGCGCTCACCTCACTTCTTCCCCGTCCTGTCTCCTCAGGGCCAGGTCCGTGGCCCACATTTTCCCACAGAACGCCCGTGCCTACAAGGCTGCAGAAGTGCTGCATGACTGGGCCCCAGAGGCCAGCCCCATGCGCGTGGTCCCCAGCCCTAGCACAGCTGTAGAGGCACCACTGAGCTCGGCCGAGCCGGTGGAAGGTGAGTCATGTCATGGGATGCCGTGGGGCTGCTGGCCCCAGGGCTGCTCGTTCACGCATGGCTCCTGTGGTGTCCAGAGCCCCAGGACACGCCCCGAGCCTGTTGTGGGCCCAGGCGGGCATTGTTGGTGCTGGTGGCTGGAAGTTGTTCCCAAATCCCTCACCCTCTCGCGTGGCCCCTTTAGCCCTGACCTCCAGGGTGCGATGCCTGGCTGGAACGAGGTGGTGAGGCAAGGGTAGTTCCCTGGGCAATATGGAGCCGGATTCCTGACCTTGGCCAGGAGCGGGCGTGACCAGAAACCATGGGCTTGTGATTGAACGGTCGACCCGTGCATGAGAATAGCTGCAGATGTGCCGTGCAACCGGCCCCATTTGCAGTGCCCGTGTGTGTACCCCAAGAGGGCTTGCCAGCTTGCCAAGGCTACGGGTTCCTGGAGTGTCCAGCACCAGGCCCGCTGTGGACGGAGGGCGGGAGGGAGGAAAGGAGGGCACTGCAGGCTTTGAGAGGCCATGTGGCCAGCCATCGGTGCCAGGTTGTGCAGCGTGTGGGGGGCAGGTGCCCAGGCAGACTGAGGCATGAGCTGAGGGCATGGGTCTTCCATGGCTGCTGGGGCTAGCTCGTTGTGGACCCTCACGTGCGTTGGTCTCACTGAGGCTACCTTGCCCCTGCTTTACAGTGGACACCGTCGCCGCCTCCGATGGGCAACAGGCTGGCAATGACCAAAAGGCAACAGTGGGCACAGGCCGCACCGAGGTGGAGCCCGGGTAAGTGTGTGTGTGTGTGTGGCAGTGGCTGTGGCCATGAAACATGGCTGGCCAGGCCTGAGTGGAATGTGGGGTGTCCCAGGTGCCATTGGAGGAGGCGGCAGGCTGGGCTGTGGAAGGCTGGTTCCTGGTGTTCCAGGAAGGTTGCATTCTGCCCCTGCACTCCAACTCTGCTATGGTCAGGGCCCGCCAGGTCTGTAGAGGCTTTGGCACTGTGCCTTGCCAAGAGCTGTCCCTGGTGCTGGCTGTCAGCCATTTGTGTAGAAGCCCCCTGGGGTGCTGCCTGTGTGCCTCTGGGTCCTGCTGGGTCCTGGGAGCGCAGGGGCCAGAGATCAACCGCCTCGTGGGTTGTGCGTGGTGCCCCATCTCCGTGAGGCCCCATGAAAGGAGTACCCCATCGCAGTCTCTGTTTTGGTGCTGGGCAAAGTGTGGGTGTAGGATGTGTGTTGTTGCTGCGGCAGCTGGTGCAGCCAGCGTCGGGGACAGAGAGCGAGCAGAGAGAAAGGTGGCCAGGGCCGCCCGTGGCGTGTTTGGTGGTGGGGACCGCCAGGGCCAGGCTCATGGAAGTGTCCCAGGCCTAGCATACCAGCACCTTGGTGTTGACCAGCATGCACGGGCTTGCTTCTAACTGGACCCTGACTGAATGCAAGCGGGAGAGAGCAGGGCCTTGGGGTGGGCGGTGAGATGGGGTCCTCTGCTGCAGAACCAGCCTCCTGCACGGCCCCCCACCTCCTGCATGTCCCCACACGGTCCCAGCACCACCCTGCCTGGACCATGGTCCCCAGAGGTCTCCGAGCTCTTTCCTTAACCTCCAGCTGCGGGTGCCCTGGTGCCAGGCATGCTTTGCTGAGGCCCCCGGTTGCATGGGTTGCCACTGCCACGGTGTTTTCCCCTGTGGCCCTGTGCCCTTGGGCCCAGAAGGGAGGCCGAGCGCCAGCAGTGGTGGCTGCTGAGGACCCGGGCCCCTCGGTCCTGCCCTGAGGCCCAGCAGCGCTCACCTCACTTCTTCCCCGTCCTGTCTCCTCAGGGCCAGGTCCGTGGCCCACATTTTCCCACAGAACGCCCGTGCCTACAAGGCTGCAGAAGTGCTGCATGACTGGGCCCCAGAGGCCAGCCCCATGCGCGTGGTCCCCAGCCCTAGCACAGCTGTAGAGGCACCACTGAGCTCGGCCGAGCCGGTGGAAGGTGAGTCATGTCATGGGATGCCGTGGGGCTGCTGGCCCCAGGGCTGCTCGTTCACGCATGGCTCCTGTGGTGTCCAGAGCCCCAGGACACGCCCCGAGCCTGTTGTGGGCCCAGGCGGGCATTGTTGGTGCTGGTGGCTGGAAGTTGTTCCCAAATCCCTCACCCTCTCGCGTGGCCCCTTTAGCCCTGACCTCCAGGGTGCGATGCCTGGCTGGAACGAGGTGGTGAGGCAAGGGTAGTTCCCTGGGCAATATGGAGCCGGATTCCTGACCTTGGCCAGGAGCGGGCGTGACCAGAAACCATGGGCTTGTGATTGAACGGTCGACCCGTGCATGAGAATAGCTGCAGATGTGCCGTGCAACCGGCCCCATTTGCAGTGCCCGTGTGTGTACCCCAAGAGGGCTTGCCAGCTTGCCAAGGCTACGGGTTCCTGGAGTGTCCAGCACCAGGCCCGCTGTGGACGGAGGGCGGGAGGGAGGAAAGGAGGGCACTGCAGGCTTTGAGAGGCCATGTGGCCAGCCATCGGTGCCAGGTTGTGCAGCGTGTGGGGGGCAGGTGCCCAGGCAGACTGAGGCATGAGCTGAGGGCATGGGTCTTCCATGGCTGCTGGGGCTAGCTCGTTGTGGACCCTCACGTGCGTTGGTCTCACTGAGGCTACCTTGCCCCTGCTTTACAGTGGACACCGTCGCCGCCTCCGATGGGCAACAGGCTGGCAATGACCAAAAGGCAACAGTGGGCACAGGCCGCACCGAGGTGGAGCCCGGGTAAGTGTGTGTGTGTGTGTGGCAGTGGCTGTGGCCATGAAACATGGCTGGCCAGGCCTGAGTGGAATGTGGGGTGTCCCAGGTGCCATTGGAGGAGGCGGCAGGCTGGGCTGTGGAAGGCTGGTTCCTGGTGTTCCAGGAAGGTTGCATTCTGCCCCTGCACTCCAACTCTGCTATGGTCAGGGCCCGCCAGGTCTGTAGAGGCTTTGGCACTGTGCCTTGCCAAGAGCTGTCCCTGGTGCTGGCTGTCAGCCATTTGTGTAGAAGCCCCCTGGGGTGCTGCCTGTGTGCCTCTGGGTCCTGCTGGGTCCTGGGAGCGCAGGGGCCAGAGATCAACCGCCTCGTGGGTTGTGCGTGGTGCCCCATCTCCGTGAGGCCCCATGAAAGGAGTACCCCATCGCAGTCTCTGTTTTGGTGCTGGGCAAAGTGTGGGTGTAGGATGTGTGTTGTTGCTGCGGCAGCTGGTGCAGCCAGCGTCGGGGACAGAGAGCGAGCAGAGAGAAAGGTGGCCAGGGCAGCCCATGGCGTGTTTGGTGGTGGTGGGGACCGCCAGGGCCAGGCTCATGGAAGTGTCCCAGGCCTAGCATACCAGCACCTTGGTGTTGACCAGCATGCACGGGCTTGCTTCTAACTGGACCCTGACTGAATGCAAGCGGGAGAGAGCAGGGCCTTGGGGTGGGCGGTGAGATGGGGTCCTCTGCTGCAGAACCAGCCTCCTGCACGGCCCCCCACCTCCTGCATGTCCCCACACGGTCCCAGCACCACCCTGCCTGGACCATGGTCCCCAGAGGTCTCCGAGCTCTTTCCTTAACCTCCAGCCGCGGGTGCCCTGGTGCCAGGCATGCTTTGCTGAGGCCCCCGGTTGCATGGGTTGCCACTGCCACGCTGTTTTCCCCTGTGGCCCTGTGCCCTTGGGCCCAGAAGGGAGGCCGAGCGCCAGCAGTGGTGGCTGCTGAGGACCCGGGCCCCTCGGTCCTGCCCTGAGGCCCAGCAGCGCTCACCTCACTTCTTCCCCGTCCTGTCTCCTCAGGGCCAGGTCCGTGGCCCACATTTTCCCAGAGAACGCCCGTGCCTACAAGGCTGCAGAAGTGCTGCATGACTGGGCCCCAGAGGCCAGCCCCATGCGCGTGGTCCCCAGCCCTAGCACAGCTGTAGAGGCACCACTGAGCTCGGCCGAGCCGGTGGAAGGTGAGTCATGTCATGGGATGCCGTGGGGCTGCTCGTTCACGCTTGGCTCCTGTGGTGTCCAGAGCCCCAGGACACGCCCCGAGCCTGTTGTGGGCCCAGGCGGGCATTGTTGGTGCTGGTGGCTGGAAGTTGTTCCCAAATCCCTCACCCTCTCGCGTGGCCCCTTTAGCCCTGACCTCCAGGGTGCGATGCCTGGCTGGAACGAGGTGGTGAGGCAAGGGTAGTTCCCTGGGCAATATGGAGCCGGATTCCTGACCTTGGCCAGGAGCGGGCGTGACCAGAAACCATGGGCTTGTGATTGAACGGTCGACCCGTGCATGAGAATAGCTGCAGATGTGCCGTGCAACCGGCCCCATTTGCAGTGCCCGTGTGTGTACCCCAAGAGGGCTTGCCAGCTTGCCAAGGCTATGGGTTCCTGGAGTGTTCAGCACCAGGCCCGCTGTGGACGGAGGGCGGGAGGGAGGAAAGGAGGGCACTGCAGGCTTTGAGAGGCCATGTGGCCAGCCATCGGTGCCAGGTTGTGCAGCGTGTGGGGGGCAGGTGCCCAGGCAGACTGAGGCATGAGCTGAGGGCATGGGTCTTCCATGGCTGCTGGGGCTAGCTCGTTGTGGACCCTCACGTGTGTTGGTCTCACTGAGGCTACCTTGCCCCTGCTTTACAGTGGACACCGTCGCCGCCTCCAATGGGCAACAGGCTGGCAATGACCAAAAGGCAACAGTGGGCACAGGCTGCACCGAGGTGGAGCCTGGGTAAGTGTGTGCGTGTGTGGCAGTGGCAGTGGCCATGGAACATGGCTGGCCAAGGCTGTGTTGAATGTGGGGTGTCTCAGGTGTCAGTGTTAAGTGGCCGTTGGAATTTGCTACTCAACGCCGATAGTGTGTTTTGAAAGTTGGAGTGTAGACCTGCATGGCACCTCTGGTTGGGTGGGCACCGCTGACCTCCAGAGCCCTTGGCAGGCTGCCTCCCTGAGAGCCCCGTCCGTGGCCGTCAGCCATGGTCTTGAAGAGCCCTGGGGCGTTCCATGTCTTCCCTGTGTCCCACAGGATCCTGGGATCAGGACCCCTTGTGCAGCATCCTTACTGTCACATCTCCATGCATGTGTTGTGTGCAAGTAGGCGGTGAAGCCCGTAGCAGTGTGTATGTTAGTGCCCGGGGAAGTGTGGGTGAAGGATGTCATTACGCGAGTAGCTGGTGTGGCCAGCATGTGTCCCATGCACATAGCAGAAGGCAAGGTGGCCGCAGGAAACCCTAGCATCTAGCATGTCTGTTCCTGGGTGTTGCCGTTGTTGGGCGCCTGGGCATGTACCGAGTGTGCAGAAGCGGGACCGTTGGCATTGCCCAGGCTCCTTGGGCTTGCTTTTGGCTCGATGAGGTGTGTGCCCAAGCGTGAGGGAGCCAGGGACTTGGGGCTTGGGGATGATGTGCGATGCTGTGCTTCGGAGCCCACCTCTTGGCCTGGACCACACAGCACAAACACCCCCCACCCAGCTGGCCCACAGCCAGCAGAGGTCTCAGGCTCCTTCTGCCAGCTTGCACCTGTAGGAGCAGTGGTGTCCCATGATGGCTGTCTCAGGCCCTGAATGGCATGGTTTGCCACTGCCACGCTGCTTTTCCTTGGGTGGCCAGGCCCTTGTGCCCAAGAGGGAGGCTGAGTGCTGGCGGTGGTGGTTCCTGTGCTCCCTGGGCCCTCAGTGATAGCGCTGAATTCAGCAACGCTCAGCTGTCTTCCTTCTGGCCTCTCTGCTCAGGCTGGGCTCGGCCCCCCATGAACTGCCTGGAATATGCTACATGTATGACCGCCCAGGAGACCTGTCCTCCCCCTGGGCCGTGTACCAGTGGGCAGCCAGCGCGGGCATCATCTCCAGCCCGAACACCAGTGAGGATGCCCAGCCGTTTCGCTGGGCAGAGGCCGTCGAGGGTGAGTCATGTGATGCAACTGCCACAGGGGGAGCTGGCCCTCAGTGCTGTTGGCACTCCTCTCCTGGCGCTGTTGCCCAAGCCCCGGAACACGTGTGAAGTTGCTGTGATCCCAGGCAGACCTGTGTGATGCTGCTGCTGTCTGGGAGTCGTACCCATGCTCCCCTCTTTGTCGCACAGCCAGCCCTTTACCCTGAGGTCCAGGGTGTGTGTCGTTGCGAAGGATGGCTGGACACAGTGGTGCTTGCATGGGCGCTCCAGGGCTGGGTTGCAACCTTGAGTACTGGGGCCAGCATTTGCCTGAAGCCCTGGCTGCATGGAGGTGGAAGGGTCCTCCCATAGGTTAGGAAACCTAAGCTCCCAGTGTGCCTCAGGCCCCAGGGGCGGTGCACATGTGCTCCCCAAGGGCAGAGGGCTGCTTGCCGAGGCTGCGGATTCCTGGAGTGGGCAGCACCCAGCTCCCCATGAAGAGAGGGAGAGCTGGAGGGAGGGGAAAGCACATTGGGCTGGCAGAGACCATGCGTGCCAGGTCGGACAGCGTGCAGGCCTGCTGCCCACTCAGGTGGTGAGCGTGAGCTGAGGCCACGGCCCTCCACAGGGTGCTGACAGTGACACGCTGGGGACCCTCGCGTGCTTTGGTCTCACGAGAGTTCCCCTGCCCCTCCTTTGCAGTGGACAACACCGCCCTCTCTGAGGGCCCACCAACCCCCAATGATGACAAAGTTCCAGCAGCTGCCACAGGCTGGACCGAGGTGGACCCGGGGTAAGAGTGTGTCCGTGGCAGTGGCCATGGAACATGGCTGGCCAAGGCTGTGTTGAATGTGGGAGTGTGTCTGTGCTGCCTGGGAAGGGCTGTGGGAGTGGGCTGTGAAAGGCTGGCCGTGTGCCAGGAAGGCCCCATTGTAGACGTGCACGGCACCTGTGGTGTCATGGGGCACCGCTGGTCTCCAGAGCCCTTGGCAGGCTGCCTCCCTGAGAGCCCCGTCCGTGGCCGTCAGCCATGGTCTTGAAGAGCCCTGGGGCCTTCCCTGTCTTGCCTGTGTCCCACAGGACCCGGGGATCAGGACCCCTTGTGGGGCGTCCTTGCTGTCACATCTCCATGCATGTGTTGTGTGCAAGTAGGCGGTGAAGCCCGTAGCAGTGTGTATGTTAGTGCCCGGGGAAGTGTGGGTGAAGGATGTCATTACGCGAGTAGCTGGTGTGGCCGGCATGTGTCCCATGCACAGAGCAGAGGGCAAGGTGGCCGCAGGAAACCCTAGCATCTAGCATGTTTGTTCCTGGGTGTTGCTGGTGTTGGGCGCCTGGGCATGTACCGAGTGTGCAGAAGCGGGACCGTTGGCATTACCCAGGCTCCTTGGGCTTGCTTTTGGCTCGATGAGGTGTGTGCCCAAGCGTGAGGGAGCCAGGGACTTGGGGCTTGGGGGTGACGTGGGATGCTGTGCTTCGGAGCCCACCTCTTGGCCTGGACCACACAGCACAAACACCCCCCACCCAGCTGGCCCACAGCCAGCAGAGGTCTCAGGCTCCTTCTGCCAGCTTGCACCTGTAGGAGCAGTGGTGTCCCATGATGGCTGTCTCAGGCCCTGAATGGCATGGTTTGCCACTGCCACGCTGCTTTTCCTTGGGTGGCCAGGCCCTTGTGCCCAAGAGGGAGGCTGAGTGCTGGCGGTGGTGGTTCCTGTGCTCCCTGGGCCACCAGCCATAGTGCTGAGTTCAGCAGCGCTCAGCTGTCTTCCTTCTGGCCTCTCTGCTCAGGCTGGGCTCGGCCCCCCATGAACTGCCTGGAATATGCTACATGTATGACCGCCCAGGAGACCTGTCCTCCCCCTGGGCCGTGTACCAGTGGGCAGCCAGCGCGGGCATCATCTCCAGCCCGAACACCAGTGAGGATGCCCAGCCGTTTCGCTGGGCAGAGGCCGTCGAGGGTGAGTCATGTGATGCAACTGCCACAGGGGGAGCTGGCCCTCAGTGCTGTTGGCACTCCTCTCCTGGCGCTGTTGCCCAAGCCCCGGAACACGTGTGAAGTTGCTGTGATCCCAGGCAGACCTGTGTGCTGCTGCTGCTGTCTGGGAGTCGTACCCATGCTCCCCTCTTTGTCGCACAGCCAGCCCTTTACCCTGAGGTCCAGGGTGTGTGTCGTTGCGAAGGATGGCTGGACACAGTGGTGCTTGCATGGGCGCTCCAGGGCTGGGTTGCAACCTTGAGTACTGGGGCCAGCGTTTGCCTGAAGCCCTGGCTGCATGGAGGTGGAAGGGTCCTCCCATAGGTTAGGAAACCTAAGCTCCCAGTGTGCCTCAGGCCCCAGGGGCGGTGCACATGTGCTCCCCAAGGGCAGAGGGCTGCTTGCCGAGGCTGCGGATTCCTGGTGTGGGCAGCACCCGGCTCCCCATGCAGAGAGGGAGAGCTGGAGGGAGGGGTAAGCACATTGGGCTGGCAGAGACCATGCATGCCAGGTCGGACAGCGTGCAGGCCTGCTGCCCACCCAGGTGGTGAGCGTGAGCTGAGGCCACGGCCCTCCACAGGGTGCTGACAGTGACACGCTGGGGACCCTCGCGTGCTTTGGTCTCACGAGAGTTCCCCTGCCCCTCCTTTGCAGTGGACAACACCGCCCTCTCTGAGGGCCCACCAACCCCCAATGATGACAAAGTTCCAGCAGCTGCCACAGGCTGGACCGAGGTGGACCCGGGGTAAGAGTGTGTCCGTGGCAGTGGCCATGGAACATGGCTGGCCAAGGCTGTGTTGAACGTGGGAGTGTGTCTGTGCTGCCTGGGAAGGGCTGTGGGAGTGGGCTGTGAAAGGCTGGCCGTGTGCCAGGAAGGCCCCATTGTAGACGTGCACGGCACCTGTGGTGTCATGGGGCACCGCTGGTCTCCAGAGCCCTTGGCAGGCTGCCTCCCTGAGAGCCCCGTCCGTGGCCGTCAGCCATGGTCTTGAAGAGCCCTGGGGCCTTCCCTGTCTTGCCTGTGTCCCACAGGACCCGGGGATCAGGACCCCTTGTGGGGCGTCCTTGCTGTCACATCTCCATGCATGTGTTGTGTGCAAGTAGGCGGTGAAGCCCGTAGCAGTGTGTATGTTAGTGCCCGGGGAAGTGTGGGTGAAGGATGTCATTACGCGAGTAGCTGGTGTGGCCAGCATGTGTCCCATGCACATAGCAGAGGGCAAGGTGGCCGCAGGAATCCCTAGCATGTCTGTTCCTGGGTGTTGCTGGTGTTGGGCGCCTGGGCATGTACCGAGTGTGCAGAAGCGGGACCGTTGGCATTACCCAGGCTCCTTGGGCTTGCTTTTGGCTCGATGAGGTGTGTGCCCAAGCGTGAGGGAGCCAGGGACTTGGGGCTTGGGGGTGACGTGGGATGCTGTGCTTCGGAGCCCACCTCTTGGCCTGGACCACGCAGCACAAACACCCCCCACCCAGCTGGCCCACAGCCAGCAGAGGTCTCAGGCTCCTTCTGCCAGCTTGCACCTGTAGGAGCAGTGGTGTCCCATGATGGCTGTCTCAGGCCCCGAATGGCATGGTTTGCCACTGCCACGCTGCTTTTCCTTGGGAGGCCAGGCCCTTGTGCCCAAGAGGGAGGCTGAGTGCTTGCGATGGTGGTTCCTGTGCTCCCTGGGCCCTCAGTGATAGCGCTGAATTCAGCAACGCTCAGCTGTCTTCCTTCTGGCCTCTCTGCTCAGGCTGGGCTCGGCCCCCCATGAACTGCCTGGAATATGCTACATGTATGACCGCCCAGGAGACCTGTCCTCCCCCTGGGCCGTGTACCAGTGGGCAGCCAGCGCGGGCATCATCTCCAGCCCGAACACCAGTGAGGATGCCCAGCCGTTTCGCTGGGCAGAGGCCGTCGAGGGTGAGTCATGTGATGCAACTGCCACAGGGGGAGCTGGCCCTCAGTGCTGTTGGCACTCCTCTCCTGGCGCTGTTGCCCAAGCCCCGGAACACGTGTGAAGTTGCTGTGATCCCAGGCAGACCTGTGTGATGCTGCTGCTGTCTGGGAGTCGTACCCATGCTCCCCTCTTTGTCGCACAGCCAGCCCTTTACCCTGAGGTCCAGGGTGTGTGTCGTTGCGAAGGATGGCTGGACACAGTGGTGCTTGCATGGGCGCTCCAGGGCTGGGTTGCAACCTTGAGTACTGGGGCCAGCATTTGCCTGAAGCCCTGGCTGCATGGAGGTGGAAGGGTCCTCCCATAGGTTAGGAAACCTAAGCTCCCAGTGTGCCTCAGGCCCCAGGGGCGGTGCACATGTGCTCCCCAAGGGCAGAGGGCTGCTTGCCGAGGCTGCGGATTCCTGGTGTGGGCAGCACCCGGCTCCCCATGCAGAGAGGAGAGCTGGAGGGAGGGAGGGGAAAGCACATTGGGCTGGCAGAGACCATGCGTGCCAGGTCGGACAGCGTGCAGGCCTGCTGCCCACTCAGGTGGTGAGCGTGAGCTGAGGCCACGGCCCTCCACAGGGTGCTGACAGTGACACGCTGGGGACCCTCGCGTGCTTTGGTCTCACGAGAGTTCCCCTGCCCCTCCTTTGCAGTGGACAACACCGCCCTCTCTGAGGGCCCACCAACCCCCAATGATGACAAAGTTCCAGCAGCTGCCACAGGCTGGACCGAGGTGGACCCGGGGTAAGAGTGTGTCCGTGGCAGTGGCCATGGAACATGGCTGGCCAAGGCTGTGTTGAACGTGGGGTGTGTCTGTGCTGCCTGGGAAGGGCTGTGGGAGTGGGCTGTGAAAGGCTGGCCGTGTGCCAGGAAGGCCCCATTGTAGACGTGCACGGCACCTGTGGTGTCATGGGGCACCGCTGGTCTCCAGAGCCCTTGGCAGGCTGCCTCCCTGAGAGCCCCGTCCGTGGCCATCAGCCATGGTCTTGAAGAGCCCTGGGGCCTTCCCTGTCTTGCCTGTGTCCCACAGGACCCGGGGATCAGGACCCCTTGTGGGGCGTCCTTGCTGTCACATCTCCATGCATGTGTTGTGTGCAAGTAGGTGGTGAAGCCCGTAGCAGTGTGTATGTTAGTGCCTGGGGAAGTGTGGGTGAAGGATGTCATTACGCGAGTAGCTGGTGTAGCCGGCATGTGTCCCATGGACAGAGCAGAGGGTAAGGTGGCCGCAGGATACCCTAGCATCTAGCATGTTTGTTTCCTGGGTGTTGCCGGTGTTGGGCACCTGGGCATGTACCGAGTGTGCAGAAGCGGGACCGTTGGCATTACCCAGGCTCCTTGGGCTTGCTTTTGGTTCGATGAGGTGTGTGCCCAAGCGTGAGGGAGCCAGGGACTTGGGGCTTGGGGGTGACGTGGGATGCTGTGCTTCGGAGCCCACCTCTTGGCCTGGACCACACAGCACAAACACCCCCCACCCAGCTGGACCACAGCCAGCAGAGGTCTCAGGCTCCTTCTGCCAGCTTGCACCTGTAGGAGCAGTGGTGTCCCGTGATGGCTGTCTCAGGCCCCGAATGGCATGGTTTGCCACTGCCACGCTGCTTTTCCTTGGGAGGCCAGGCCCTTGTGCCCAAGAGGGAGGCTGAGTGCTTGCGATGGTGGTTCCTGGGCACCTCGGGCACCCTGGCCACCAGCCATAGTGCTGAGTTCAGCAGTGCTCAGCTGTCTTCCTTCTGTCCTCTCTCCTCAGGTTGGGCTCTACTCCCTACGACCCTCCCGCAATATGCTACCTGTATCGTGGCCCAGGAGACCTGGCCCACTGGACATTGTACCAGTGGGCAGCCAGCATAGGTGTCATCCCTCGCGCAAACACCAGTGACAAGACACCGTTTTGCTGTTCATATACATGTGTTGGTGAGTCGTTTTAACTGAATTCCTTTCAGATTCTCATCCTCAAGTTTTGCCTATTCTCTGCTCTCTATGTGTCAGTTTTCCCTCTGTTCCCTCCTCTTCCCACTTGGATTTCTATATTTCTTGTTGTATTGTGTCTTTTTTGAATGAGTGTAACTATATTCGGCATCTTTCTCTTCTTTTCCTCTGTTTCTTGATTTCTCTGTTTTTCACAATGTAATTGACTGTGTTTTTCACATCCTGCTGCTGCTCTACTGAGTATGTCTGTTTTGTGCTGTTCCCACCGCCTTGGCATTTCACGGTGTGGCATTGCTGTCTACCCATATCAGCCTCTCTGAATGTCTGCCCTGCTGCCAAATTCAGTTGGGTCATGATTTTGTTTGTTCTTTAGTTTTCTCTCACTGCTTTGTTTGTGCAATTTCATAATGTACAGCCACCCTGTTTTGCTGTTATTGCCCAGGCTCGTGGTTAACCCAAAACCCCTAGAGCCGAGCTAGATATCTTGTGCTTTCCTTGCTCACCCACCCTGGCAGTCGTGTCCCCCTTGTGCCCTGCCTTCACCTCTCTCCGTTGCAATGCCTGGCCACAAACCCGACTGTGATTGTAAGTTTTTCTCTGCATTCCAAGGCCTGATAGCTGAACCTCTAAGCCCCCTTGAGAGGTTTTGTGGATCAGCTTGTACCTCGGATAAGTGGTGTATTTTTTCCTTCATTTGTCGCCAACACCAGGCAACTGACCAGCCTTTGAGTGTTGGGGGTATGTTTTGGTACACCTGAATGTTACCATAAACCCAGTATGACGACTTTGGAATCTGAAGACTAGCAGATTTCATGAGATTAGTCATGGTGCAGGGATTGTCCAGTTGTGGGTTTGACTATCACCAGCCAAAGTCACAAATATATCAGGGGATGATGAATGACAGATGGGATCTTTTTTTCCTTGTTACATCTTGGCTTTGACCTTTCATTGTGTGCCTTCTTTTCTAGTCCTTGATACCTTGAGCAGCGAACTTAGGCAAGAAGGTGTGTGTCTAGAGAATGGAGTTGTATTTGCACACCTGGTGAGCACCCAGCGCAGGTAAGTGTGCCTGGGCCGCTGTGGCTGCTCCTCCGCTGTGCACATCTGTGAATGCAAGGTTCAGAGGTGATCGGATGTGTGTGTTATTTTATGGTGTGAGTGCTGTGCTCCCCCATGTGCCCTTCCCAGAGTGAACTCTAGTCCATCCCAGGGTCCTTTCCCAGCCCTTTCCCACATGTCTGGGAACTGCTGGCTCTTTAGTCTGCATAGAATGTGAGCCCCGATACCTCTAGGTCTTCCCCTTCTTGGGACTCATGTCCTTTGTGGCCTGGACATGTTCCCCCACCTGGAACATTTCTGTCATGGATCCTGTGTTGGCTGCACAAAAATTGTCTGAGCCCTGTCTTCACCCCTGGGCTGATCCTCTTCAGTGACCCTTTTTGATGTAGACTGAGTGTAGTCAGCAACCAGGGAGTGGTAGTGGTGAGGCCAAGGGGGGACGGGTAGTTGAGTTGCTCATTGATGTGTCTGAGTTCTCTGGCCAGACCTTGGGCTGGCTGCAGTGTAAAGCTGTTGGCTTGACTGGTAATCTGGACTTGGAACCTGTTCAGCCCCGTGTGTGCCCAGGACCTTGGTACTTTGGACATTGCAGCAGACCCTGGCCTTTGAGTTGCCTCATAGCTAACCACCTAGTCCTAGGTCACCTCATCTCCATAATGGCTACAAACCTTCCTATGTTCCTTCTGTGTGAAGCCGGTAGTGGGTCAGATGGTTTCCAGCTGGTGGGCTGGGTTTGGACCCTTTGAGCATGCTCTGTAAGTCCATGGTCATGGTTTGATATACAGGGAATCCTGGGGATCCAACCACAAAATACTCTGTCATCCTCAGTAACTCTTTTTCAATCTGTCCACAGCCTACAGAGCTCACAGTTCCTCACTGAGGCTGCAATCTGGCCATTCGACACAGAACAAGCAGTGTATTATTGTGCCGTGCTGGCAGGCCCTGTGGACTTCACTTTGGGAATTCCCTGGGCTCCTGGCCAGGATTCTTGCCTGTACCGTGAGAGGCCCCAGCGCTGGGCCTGTGCCATTGAAGGTGAGTCTTCCCCTGGGAAACTCTGAGCTTTCCATGAATGATCCTGGCAGCAGAACCAACACTGGTGCCTTGCTGCTGTTGCCTGCACTGGGTGCGTCTCAGCATCCAAAGTGGCTACATTGGCCAACCCAGGGACACCCCAGTTGGCCCGTGGCATTTAGGGTTGTACAGAGTGACAGCTGTTACCCCCATCTGTGGCCATCTCACACAGACCTGGCCCCTTATCCTGGACCCACATCCCACCTTGTCTGTTCACCCTTGTTGGGTCAGTGATGCTGCTGCTTCAACCTTAGCCCTGCAACCTGACCTGAACCTTGGGTATGCCTAGACCTACAGTCCCAATGCTGGTAGCTGGGATTATGCCCATGCCCCTTCCCTCCTAGTCTTAGCAGCATGGTGATAGGGGTACACAGAGTAAATTGTGTTGAGTACTGGATGTTTGGCCCAGGTATTATTATGTCATGTTTTCCTCTACAAGAGGGAACCCTGACAGGTGGGAAGATGAAGGGAGTCCCATGGCGGAGGAAAGGTGACTTGCCACCCATCTGGGACCTGGGCATTAGGTCTGTGGGATTGAGCAGCAGATACCCACATGCAGAGGCTTGTGGCACCTGGTGTACAAGAAGCTTGGGTCTCCAGGTAGGGATGGAATGTTCCCCAGGTTGGCAGGAGCCTCGTGGCCAACCATTGCAGGTAAGTCTTCCATGGTGCATGGTTTTTACCCCACCAAGGCCTCCTGCCAGAGTCCAGGAGCCCTGTTTGGCCAGCTGGTCAACCGAGGGCAACCCTGTTGGATCAGCCAGCTATCCTCCTGGGTCCTAGTTTGGCCCTGAGTGCCCAGTCTATTTGACATGGGATTCTGCTTAACAGGTATATTATGCAATGCCCAATAGGGGGCCCTCTGGTGGTTGGCGGAGGCGTGAGGCTGGTCACGGAAGAAGGCTCTCCTCTGACAGGGGTGACTTGACAGTCACATACCAGGCCAGATCTAGGCCAGAGGGTGCAAAACAAATGGTGAGACCTTTGTTTCCATTTTTCTTCTTGTCCTGACCTTGCCGCATGTGTGCTTTTTGCAGCATCTGAACCCTGCAGTCCTAAGGCAGACAAGGAGGCAGAACAGGAAGGTGACACCTCGAGCGAAGCACTGCCTGATGAGGAGGTGGTTGCAGAGGAGGGGGAAGTGTCTGGAGATTATAGTGGTGTCCAACACGGGTAAGTGTGCAAGGGTGTCTGTGGCTGCCATCTAGATGTGCACTTCTGTATAGTTAGGGCTCACCAAAGGCAGGGATGTTCACGTTGAGATTGGTGTATTGGGTTAGGTTGTGATGTGGGTATTATTGTCATCCACCATGGGCCCAGGAGGTCCCTTTTCCCAGCTGAGGTCTAGGCTATTCCACAGCCTATCCCAGGTCACCCACATCTCTCAGAATCCCCTGCTCTCTAGCCTGGCATAGTGCCCTCCATGTCTCAGCCCTCCTCCTTGGACCATTGCCCCTGGTGGCCCAGGATGCATGTCCCCTCCTGTAGCATTTCTGACCTCACAGATTCTGTGTTGTCTCCATAACAAGAGGCTGAGTGAGTCCTGTCTCAGCCGCCAACCTTGTTTCCTCTACTTCAACCTGACAGGGCCTGGTCTGGACCCCGGAGCACTGTAGAGAGATCAAGGGGCTCTTCTCTGGTGTGCTGGTTTTGTTTTGTTTTGTTTTGTTGTTCTCCTGTGCGCTGTTAATGCTAGGGAGACCTTGCATCCGTCCTTAGTAACGTTCCTTCCCTTTGTCCCTCCATAGAACATCCCAGAAGACTGCCTTGAAGAAATCTGCTATCCCCTCCTGTGACATCTTTGTGAGGGGGCCTCACTGGCTCATGCTCACGGAAGCTTACTACCAGGATATTGATCCCCTGTCTGCGTGGCCCAGGGTCTTTAACACACATCAATATTTCTTTTCTGATGTGCTTCTTGGAAGTGAGTATTTCCTGACTAGTTCACTTACCTTCTCTTGATCTTTCAGGCAGATTCCAATAGCCATTGGCCCACGATATCCATGCCTCTCCTTTATGAATTCTCCCATTTCTCCAGGTAGAGCCGGTAGAAGCATCTCTGTGTATTGAGGATAGTGTAGGTTTGCCATGGTAGCTCCCTAGAGTGCCACTGCTTCCCTGGGTGCCCCTCAGACCCTGCCCATGGCATTGGCACTTGTGAGTCTTCTGAGGGATGTTTTCCTCTTTCCAGGTTTTGTCGTGAAGAACCATTGTCCGTCCTTTAGTGGAAGTGTAACTTCCTACCAGCTTTCGAAGTCTTCACTTCAGAAGGAGCCATCATGTAGCAGCCTCCACCCTCAGGGTGGTTCTATTGAGGAACCACCCAGTCAGACATGTGGTAGCAGAGGGTGGCTCTTATCATCCACCAGAATTTTATTTAAAGTGCTAACGATAATCTATGAAGGTAGGAAAGGTCTGGCATGCTGGAACGAGTGATGCGTGTATTGATTGTTGTGGTGTTGTGAATGAACAAGACTTTCTCCCTCATGTCCTCTCAGGGACTCTCTGAGAGTCCCATTGCTGTTATGTGGAGACATGGATGAGAACTTGGGATGAGGGACCAGATCTGCCCCTAGATCTTGGGTTTCCTTTCAAATATTTGTCGTTGAACACGTAATTTCCCTCTTAGTTGTCCATTTCTCATCTGAGGTTCCTGCAAAAATGTATCTGCATCTCATAAAATATGATACAACATCATACAAAGATCTATCCGTATCATGGATGGACTCTTCAGTGAGAGTGTTTGCAGGATGCCTGACTTAGAATTCTTCAGTAGCGTCTGTTTCCCCTTAGTAACTCAGACGGCAGTCTGAAGGAGCTCACATTGGCTCTAGCCTCTGCCACTACTGGCAGTCCCTTCAGACTCAGCTGTCAGCAGGACCTGACCAAGATTCTCATTGGATTTCTCTCTCTTTCCCTCTCAGGTCCCCAGAACAGTATGTGGTTCTAGTGGAAAAAGTCTGGATAACTTAATAAATTGGCTATGTTTCATCAACTATATCGATTATCTATTTTGTTGTCTATGTTGTTTATTGTCAAAAATTCATAGATGATTAACACAAGAACCTGGGTTTCAGGTTTTCTTCTGAAACCGGTAGGCAGGTTTGGTTTTATGCCCTGAGACATTCAAACAAGAAAGAACTAGAGTCCCACAAGTGACATCTCATGGACTTCCTTGCTGATGCATTTTGGTTTCTACCAGTGAAGGCACTATAAGAAAAGGCACACCATGGTTTTCTGCTTCAGGCAACCAAAGCTGTGGGGTCAGGAACTTGATACTGCACAAGTGACAGCCATAACTGAGCCTAAGTCATGTCCACAGAGGTTTCAGCAATAAAACAGGAGAAGAAACCATGAGGGAACAAAGAAGACCAAGGAACACTTGTCACTGGATCCACATGAGAAAGGAACTTTGGGAGAAGGCAGTGTGATCTGGAATGAACAAATGAATGTGCTCAGACTAGGAGAAATAGAAAGAATGTAGACAACTGTTACAAAGAACAGGCTATGGAGCTGCCCTGAATGGCCGCAAGTTCCTTGATGCCCCATGCAGCCTCATCTTGAGACCCCCAGGGACCCTCAGAGGTAGCCCATCTCCTCTCTCCAGGGAGTTGGGAAGTAGAAGCTGTGCCCTTTTCTCCTGGGTCTTATTTTGCTTGCATTAAGCAGAAGGATCCACTTTTGCCTAGGGCCTTGGGACAGTTGATGGAAGTCATTGGCAGATGCAGCTCTTGGGAATCCATCCCTGCCAAGCACCCCCAGTCCAGAGCGCTTCAGGTCCTGAAATGCATTCTGGCCCTTTAAGCTCTAACCAATGTCCAGGCCACTTCACCACTGCAACGCTCTGTGTGAGCTTTGTGATAACAACCAGCAGATCCCAAAATGTGTTGGCAAAATATCTTGCTTAGCTTTCTTTCAGGAAAATTGGGAATATCCTCTACACACTGTCTTTGCTGCTGTTGTCCAGACACACCTGGCCAGCACGCCTAGAGCCCTGAGCAGAACTGTACTGTCCACAGCCTCTTCTCAATACTACCAGCAACATCTGGGAACTAGGGGCACCATGCCACCCTATTCGAATTGGGACTAAGGGCAATATTGATCTTGCTGCTACATGCCAATGTAGGTGAGGTTGCCCCGGCAGTCTGGAGCTGGCTACTGAAAGTTGCTATGGCTGTGTTTCAGATAAGAATAGTGGGGCTACTAGAAGGAGTCTTTTGTCTCTTGTAATTGAGTCATGCTAAGCTCTGGGTGCTTGATCAGGTTACTCTCCCAGACGCGTGTTTTTGAGCACTCCCCAACAGTCTCATGAGCCCTATTGCCATCAGGTTCAGCTTACCATCAAACTCAGTTTTGATAGGTATGTACTCAGTGCCAACACAGACTGATCAGATTGATGGATTTTCATGACCCTTGCTATATTCTGGATCCACTATGGATTCCTGCATAGCCCTATTCTTGAGACAGACATCTGCTGAGAGTTCCTAATGGTCCCAGCCCCCATCTGTGGAGATTTCTCCTATTCTGTCCAGATCTCACAGTCCTGGCCCCAATCATACTACCAAGACCTGCTGACACAATGCCTTCTGCTTTGTGCCAGAGAACTCATTTATTTATTCAGATAGTCTACACACTGATAACAGGGTCTTGGGCCCCTGCTTGTCTAACTGAGCGCTCTATTTCCTATTCCCCTGGTTACTGGTCTTCTGGCTGGTACCAGGGCCATTCTGACACCATGAGCGTAGGACAGTCCCACACTCAGTACTGAGTTCTCAACACATCGCTAACATCCTGACATATCTGACTGAGGTCTCTAACCTAACAGCAGCTAGATACCTTGGCCACTGATCATTCCCAAACACAAGGCCTTGGTTGGAATGTTCCCCAGGGAGGCCTTTGCATATTCCTCCATGATGTATGCTGCCTCAGTGCTCACAAATCAGGGTTTGTTTGAGAGACCTTACAACTTCAAGATAAAAACAATAGAGGATGCAAGTCTGTCACAGTCCACATGGTGGGGGTCCCTGATAGATTGATTCCCCTGGGCATGACTCTTTATTGGACCCCGGTTTTCCTTTTACAAAAACATTTCTTTTTTTATTAGAAAGGCAGATTTACAGACAGAACAAAGATCCTCCATGTACTAGCTTACCCCCAAGTGGCCTCAATGCCCAGAGCTGATCGGGAGACTCCCCCAGATCTCCCATGTGGGTGCAGTGTCCCAAGACCTTGCGCCATCCATCCTTCACTGCCCTTCCAAGCCACAGGCAGAGAGCTATATTGACAGTGGAACAGCTGGACACGACCAGTGCCCATATGGGACCCTAGTGCATTGTAACAAGGGTTTAGCCACTAAGCCATTCACCAGGTTGGTTTTCCTTTTAGTAGCTGTAGTTGGCACCTACTCATTCAGTGCCATTGCCTGCTTTGTCAACTGACAGATGTCCCGAGATCAATTTTAGTGACTTTTATATTTAGTACTGGCTCCAATAAGAAAAACTTTAGGGCTGTCACAATGGCTCAATGGCTCAATCTCTGCTTTGTAAATGCCAGGATCCCATATGGGCACCAGTTGCTGTCCCAGGTGCTCCACTTTCCATCCAGCTCCCTATTGTGCATTGGGAAAGGAGTCAGTGAAGACCCAATGTTTTGAAACCCTGCATCCACATGGGAGACCAGGAATAATCTCCTAGATCCTGGTTTCAGATCAGCTCAGTTCTGGCCTTTGTGACCACTTGTGGAGTGAGCCAGCCAAGGGAAGCTCTTTGTCTCTCCTTCTCTCTATAATTCTGCTTTTCCCTATTCCTATATATATTTATCACTTAAAAATACAAACTAAACGATTTGAAAGAGGCCCAGAGAAATGAGAGGAAATGTTACATGCCCCAAATCTCAAGAAGATGTCCTCTTAGCTGCGGTGACCAGCTTAGTCTGGAAAGGCCCTGCCTGGCTTCAGGGACCACAGCTCCTCTGCCACCAGCTACTTGTCATTATACATCTGTGCCTCCTGAAACAGCCTTGCAAGATTGACTTACAGATTTGAGTTATGAAAATACAAACAGACCAAGAGTTGGTGCTTGTCTCTTGGCATGCACATCTTGTCAAGTCCACAGGCATGAATAAATGTGCCTTTCCACAGTCTCAAATGCGGCTTGGTTCCTTCAGTTTCCTGGCTGTAACAGAGTCACTGTTCATGAGAGACTGTATCATGGTGGGATGGTATAGGTTAGTGTTGGGTGTAGAATTTTAGGTATTCCAACTTAGACTTATTTGATATGTGTCTTTCATCATTTTATTGAATCACCCTGATCCTGTTTGTTTCAATTAAAGAAATATTTGGTTATTGTGGATATTCGGTAGATGACACTTAGTGTACATAATGCAAGTGGAACATTTTCACATTTTTTAAGTGATATTTGTGCTGGTTACCGTCTGTCATAACTTAGGGGTAGAATTGCTAAAGTGTAGTGGAAAGTTGCGTTGGCCTCAGGTTCCAACTAGGGGCACTGGAGGCTGGCAGAGCTGTTGGGCAGTGAGAGACTCATTTCTGGAAAGGAAGCCATATAACAGGCCCCAGGGCTATGAAGAAATTCCCTCAAGTCTGTGATGTGTCACTGTTACCAGAGAGAGAGAAAGGTCACACAGAGAAAATGAGAAAAGACAAGTGTCTGAATTGTCAATGGAAGAACAGTGCAGCCTCCAAGGGCATAAAACAAAACCAGACTAGGTAGGGAAGAAAAATCCACAATAATGGCTAGAGAGCTTTCCTGGGGAGTGCTAAAACAACCCTCACCCAGCAATAGGGGAAACAAATTCAAGTGAAGATTTGTGAGCTTCCTGTGGTTGCACTGAGTGCCACCCATTTGATGACTTGAGTCAGCTCAGAATTGTACAGTTCCAGAGACCAGAAGTCCTCAGTTAAACTCACTAGGATAGAAAGAAAATTGTGGGCTGGGCAGTGCTCCCTCCGGGGTATAGTCCAGTCCGTGGTTCTCCGCACCTGTGCAGCTGCTTGCCATGGCTTCCTTGGTCTCAGTGCCCGTACATGAGCACCTTGATTCAGCTCTCATTTCACCGCCCTCTCTATAGACGAATCTCTTTGCCTCCCTCTTCCCAAAACACTAGGATTACACTCAGGGCCTGCACAGATGGTCCATGAGAAACTCATTTCAAGATCTTTAGCTTAACCTTATGCCAAAAACTGTTATGCCATGTGAATATGTAGATATTCACAACTTGTAACAATAATCCCTGGCTGCCTTGGCGTCATTCAGCCTGTATAGTCCCCCTCACCCTTCCAGCCTTCACATCCACTACACTCACAAAATATATCCCTTCACATCTCCAAAAGTGTCCAGCCTTTGTAGCATCAACTTAGGTCTGAAGTTTCATCTAGAGATCATG